GATGCTTCAGAGGCTGTTTCTTCTATAGTAGCTTGACTTTCAACATCACTGGGTTGATCGCTAGGTTTTTGCATCTGTCAAAATGTAAAGATCATGCGAACCGATGTGGAAAGGAGAGAGAAAAAGTTAGAGTTTATTTACCGGCTTCTCTTTTTCAACACTTCTTCTGCTTGCTCGTGTCCTAGGAGTAGTATCAGCAGTGGTTTCAGCATTTGGAACTACTCGATCAGCATCAGCATTAGCTATGACAGTAATGAAGAGATCACAGCGCTAGGCAGAAGTTACATAATAATATATTTGACTTACAGCTTGTCTCAGATTCGCTTGTACGAGTTTTCTTCACACTTGAGCCCTTCTTACTAGATGTTGCGGTATCAGCACTAGCTATAAAAGATTCGTTTCAAAGACAGCTGTAAGCCGTAAGTGATAGCCTTAAATTCCTAAACTCACTACCAGTCTCAGATTCGCTTGTACGCGTTTTCTTTGGGGGAGGACTCTTTTTTGTGACTGATCTATTGCTACTTGTTGAGCGATGCTCTCGTTTCTTTCCATCAGGCGTTTTCTCGTCCTGTTTCTGATGTTTCTGACTATCCCAGTATGCCTGTATGGCATCTGGACAATCCTAAAACTGTCACAATGAGAAAAAAAAGTGAGGGAGCGTAAATGAGGATTTGTCCTACCATTTTGCTATCGGGAAGCCATTCATCGAATTGCTCCGACCATCCACGCCATCGAACCTTGTACTCCATACCATGTCGGCGCATCCTATGGCCGACAACGGCCTCTACCTAAAAATAAGTTTGGGAAAAAGCGACTAGATCAGATCATTTTTAATTATCATACTTGCAAATGACCTTCCCTAATTGTCAAACAAGACTAGCTACAAGTTTAAAAACTACAAAAAAGGAAGGAAAGGTGCACTTTTTTCATCAATTACTGAAAAGAGTGCACTTTTCTGTTAGGATTCCTCAATAGATGTGTAATGTTAATTTTTCGTAGAGTGTTGAACTACTAAACGTTTCCCTTTTTTTGATGTGTGAGAGTGACTGACACTTTTCCTGGGAGTAAACGCGTAATAAAGAACTTGTATGACATGCGTAAAGAACCAAATGAGTGCTCAAACTGAAGTTCGAGTTG